TAATAGCACATTCATGGGAGTTTCGTAAGCTGCTCTACCTGTTCATCATGAGCATCAAGTGGATTGCATGGTCAGATTCTGGGACATGTAATGTAACCATGTGACAAAAACAACGCAACCAAACTCTAAAATTATGACAAAGTTACACATAGTTGCCATGGTAACAGTTACTGCATCCTGTGTTCGTGATATCAACAGTTTTGGTCACCTGCGCCACCCAATCGCCATGGTAACAAATATGGCACCCTGAGTGCACTGGGGCCCTGGTGGAGCACAATAATGTAACATGTGGGCGTAGGCTCCTTAGTCAACACACAAAGAAGCCGTGTTCCTATTTGGATAACATTATCTATCTAGCATACAGAGGTACTAGCTAAACTAGAGGGCAAGGGAGCAGCCTGTCAGGAAATCCCTTGACACACGTGGAAAATGTCTTCAAGGAAAAGATCAAGATTAAGGAAAGTGATAGAGGCGCCCATGTTTGTGGAGCTTCAGCATCAATGTTGCTGCCATGTTTTCAAAGAAACCAAAGATTCTCCTTCACATCATTGCATGTAAAGAGATGCTTTCCACAAACAAATATCGCCAACAATCATGGCGGAAATGCCGCGTATCCCAGCATGCTCCTGCCACAAGTCATGGTCTGCATAAGAAAGATCCTATCAAATCAAAAATCTCAGGACTGTTATCCCGACTTGATCTAAGTTGTATCTTCTGCAGCTATTGGGTGGCATCATCCCCCCTATACAGGGGAACTCCTACTGTTACAGCGCCACCAAGTGGCGTGTTTCACCATCACACGTTGCACAAAGCGATCTTAGCACAGTGACTATCGTAACTCATACTTTAACATAGACTTACGATTACTTTGAGAAACAAGGCCCAGGGCATTGCAGCAGTTAAGCACCCAACAACACCACCTGACAGGACTATCGTAACTCATACTTTAACATAGACTTACGATTGCTTTGTGAAACAAGGCCCAGGGCATTACAGCAGTTAAGCACCCAACAACACCATCTGACAGGATTTATACGACAGACACTTTTTCTTCAGCAATCTTTATTTTGAACTTCCAAGGATGTCCAAATAAACAGCCTCCACAAGAATATGAATGAATGGTTGGATAAGGGCATCAATCCTAGCAGAGTACAGCAAGTACACAGGCCAGTCAGAGGGAGCCAAGTGGTTGGGATTTAGCACTGTAGAAGTAGTCATTCGTCGGAAATTCATGGGGTACTGATACGGCTTAAAAAGACAGATGTGTTTTTGATTACATTGATCTCGAAAAAAGGGTCAGTTGGCTACCAATATATTCTGAATATCTGGGTTACAAAACAGGTAATTTGCAAATATTTTACGAGAATGTCAAGTCAGATCAAAATAATTTACCCCAGGGAGAATAGATTCCCAGTTCAACGAGTCCTGCACTACGACTGCGGATTATCTCCATGAACAAACAGTCTTGATGACAAAAATAGGCGTGGGTAACATTTTTACTGGTCCTTATAGTGATAACATAAGTACGGACACCCCTAAAAAGCCTAAATTTCAGCATCCCCTGGATACATTTAACATTAAACAAACAAAGGCTTGTGTGAAGTTACATCCTTGTCTAGTGAGCAACATCCCACAGAATATCAGCATCAGACGTTTTTCTTATTGTGTAATAAAAGATTTCATAGATGATACGATTGTGTAGAGCCCGATGAGTGTGAATACCGGTGCACAATATTCTAATTGGTGTCTGTGTGTATTCAGAGCAATCATTAGCTGCTAGATATACATATATTGAAGAAAAGTTAAGGGGCTCTCACACTTTGCCAAGTTGCGTCCTGAGTATGAACCTGAGCTGACTCAAGGGTACTCGTATGAAGCTCGTAGCGAGGTCGTACTTAACTCAGGGTAACTCAGGATACCTCGTACTGATCTAAAAGAGTTTTGGAACTGCTCAAAACACTCGGGTCACCAGCCAACTCCTAACAAACTCGTAACAAACTCGTAACACACCTGTACTACTCGTAGTACCCTCATGGCGACCTTGTGGTGCTCGTACAGAACTCGTATGAAGATCGTCTGCAAAATTGATTGCCGAGTTGACCGAGTCTAATATGAGCTATACAAGCCTCCAAGTTAAATCATGTGACAAATTCCCGCCGACCAAAGTCGTTCCAAAGTCGTACAGCTCGTATCGAGATCGTTGTGCTCGTATGCAACTCTTAAAAGACTCCTATTAGACTCCTATTGGACTCCTATTGGACTCCTATTGGACTCCTATGGGGCTCGTAACACACTCGTAACATACTCATATGATACTCGTTTATATGTAGTCTCTTCCCGAGTTAGGCTCGCGAGTGCTCGGCAACCACCTCGGCAAAGTGTGAGAGCTGCTTTAGGGATCATGAATATTTGTGGAGATATTTTTAGGAACTTGTCTGCTCAGTCTTCACAATAATAAATGTCCCCAAAATATTCATGATCCCCAAATGTTTTGTTCAGTATGTATGCACAATATAAGTTGAGGGTACACACAAAAGATGTGCCTTGAATGACTTCAGTGAAACTTGCCAGGACTCCTAGATCGCCCAAGCCTAGTCTCCCTTTAAGCCGAGACAACTCTAGGGCTAATCCTCAACCTATCCAGCCATGACAATAACTACACACAGTCCATACACAACCTAGAGTTACATGCCACCAACCAATCAATAAGTATCCCCAGACAGACAGACAGACAGACAGACAGACACAGACAGACAGACAGACAGACACGTACACAGACACAGACAGACAGACAGACAGACATATGTTCAACCACGATTTCAAAGTGTGTCCTTCAGATATGGGAGTTTTGAACGCTTCAGAAATGCCATATAGACACAGGTGTGCATGAATTATCACAGTGCGCACTCCAGACACATGTTGTCCGTCACATGCAGTCTACCAAGAACAGAAGTTACCAACTTGTGTCACTAATACACCGTTGCACTGAAAGACACAGAACACATTGTACCCTGTAAAGAACATCACCAAGGTCATGTTTCTCAAATCAGAAGGATGAACACAACTAAACATGGCCATGCCAGTAGGTTTCTGGGACACTGTTACCATGAACATTTGCTTTTCATAGTTGATGAACCTTTTTTCTTTTGTTTGACAGTTTCTAATGACTTTTGCAGCTACTGATCACTATTTCAGATGGACCTTTTTTTAATGAGGAAACTATGTCACACATCTGGGTATTTGTCTTGCATGTGTCCCCTTAAAAACTCAAGTTTGGTTCTAAAAGACATTTAAACTTATCATTTCTGCCAAGACAAAAAATTTATTGCAGGGATGACGGACACATTCACAACAACTGTGACTGGGAGACATTTGGTATTCTGCTTGAAAAAACCCTCTGATAGTGATTACACATAAACAAGTTATAAAACATTACAGGAAAATTGTTTACCTTCATGTACACCAGGCTTTAACATATTTTTTTCAAATTAAGAAATTCATTAATTTGTCATTGGTTAAATTTGTTTTCACAAAAAAATGAGACTTCAAACAAATTCATTCAGCAGGAAAGTTAACAATAAAAGCTGCACTGTAAGCTGTTGTGAGGTAAGTGGTATATAAATCAGCAATGAGTATGCACTTTTGACATGGTGTCCTTCCAGATGTAAACCTGTTTTTAAATTCTCCTCTTTCAAAACATTTGTTTATGAGGTAGACAACCTATTACATAATCTAGATATATTCAAATTTAGAAGCATTGAGTTAAATTATTTCCAAAATATCTTTTTAAATATCTTTTTTTCGTAATTACAAAAAGCGGACACTGAACCAGCTAAATAAAAGTTTCTTACACTCAAGCTGTCATCTTTTATATATCAATTTCAATAAAACTATATCCCTGACCTTTTTCATCTAAAAAAATATCCTCTGATAAATGAAATAAACCAAACGTAATTTTTTCCCACTGTCTTCCTAATGCTTATTTATCTGTTTAGGGAATACATAACCCAGACATTTCGGAGATCCACATAAAAGTTTATGGAAAAAAAGCAATTCAAGGCCATAAAATTCGAGTTACTCTATGCAAGAAGGAAAACATGTGCATTTTTCCTCGAATAAAAAAGAAATTTGCAAAAAAATGTACTCAAACCCTGATAATAAAATACTCATAATACCCATTTCTGTAAAGTATATTAAAACTGACACAACAGAATGTAAATTCCATAAAGCAAATATAAAGTGAAATCAAACAATAACGTGTGGACCGGGAAAGCTATTTAAACCATAAAGATGTTCCCGTGCCTTTCAGTCTCTTTATAGGAGTAAGGCGAAGACTCCGTCTTGGCTCTTGTGACCAAAGTTTTTGCCTCCGAGCATCTGCTGCCCTCTTCAAGCCATTTTCACCATATTTTTCTCATTCACCATAAAAATCTTTCACTACAAAAACTAGTCCGAGCTTATCAAGAGAGACAAAAAATGGCAATTCACTGACAGCCGGCACAGCGCTCATTCCAAAAGGGAGTTATTTCTTACAAACCAGCTCGGTGTACGCAATACATTGAAATTTGCATCAAAACAGGGGCACTGTAGAGAAAAAAACATAGCAAAGGAAAAAATGGTTTCATGCAGGCATGCTGTAACGCTGGTGTTCTTTGGCTCTGTCGTTACAACATTGTGGGTAGGATGAAAGGAAACGCGATATCAACGACCCTTCCTGTACGTCAATTTCATTGCTGACAAATGACGCTTTTAGAATAAGATGCATGCATGTAGGCATTTCATTTGACAAAAAACAGTCTTCTGTTTTGGAGCCCACATATTGTTAAGACTCATAACAGAAATCAAGCATCATTTGTTTTTCGAAAGAGATATTTTTAATTTCCAGCTAAGTGCGTTAACAAGGTGTAACCAGTAAAAATAATCTTCACTTCATTTTTTCTCCAAATTCATTTTGACATTTGTCAGTGCAGTGATAATGATGCATGTCTTTGTTTTTGCAGAGTTGGACCACACTTTCACAGGATTACACTCCACGGATTTAGCTGAGAAAGGCTTATTTGGATATTGCATCACTGAAGACAGGTAGGACATCTTTTCAATTCAACCTGGGCTGAGGAGGCCCAAGTTAAACACTAAAGTAATAGGCAAATTAGTGGTGAAACTTATATGAATGGATCACTGAAAATACACGTATGAGTGATGACACCAGGTGTTTGAGGTAAGGGTGAGCGTGTCCGGCTCTATCGGAAACACCGCCATTTTCATAAGAAAGCAAGTGTTTGTTGGCTAACGCTGCACCCACAAATACGCCTGCCATATCACAGCGCCTGTAAACAATTGAGTCAATCAATCATATGTAAAGTGAACACTTTAAATGTCACAAGTTACGTAAATCCAATGAAAAGGTTGACATAATATACTGGAGACAAGCGCTAAAATCAAGTCAAACTGAGAAATGAGGCTAAATTCTTCTACAAGAGAGACCTCTTAAAGACTTACGTTCACGATGTTCAGTGAGATGGTTCCTACAACTGGAAACATTTGTCATTCATTTCCTACAAAAACACAAACCATGTCCTACAAAAACTTTGTGCACCCAATATATCACATAAAACTACAACCGTAAATGCATTTTTGTGTAATTACGCCAAACATGCTTGTCACGAGCAAAGTAACATCAGAGGTGACGGAAATGAACCCAAACCAATAATAAAAGGTACGCAGTTTAGTTCAATCACCATTCACACATTCCTTAGAAAAAGGTAGAAGCTGGTTCAGGTGAACCCAACCCAAACCAATAAAACACGATCACGCATCTTTGCCAACTGGGGGTAAACACATTCCAAATAGACAATCCCTATTGTTACTGAGAAACTAAGCCAAAACAATACACGAAACACAAGCATTTTTGCTCAATTAGACACAGTACTATGAAAATGGCTTCTCTTGCACATATATCAACAACAATGCAAGCATGCACTCTGCCTCAACATGCGTATGACATAACAAAATAAACCTCCAAACACTGCATATTTTCTTGTACGCACCATATAAATGACAAGAACATTTTCTGTGTGGTCCAAATTCCAGTTGCTATTAGCTTCCTGTCTCAAATTTGTGCCTCAGCTTCATTTTCTCATCATGGCTGTCATGCGACATTGTTATGTAATCTTTTACCCAAATGTATTTTAATTTATTTCTCAATAATGTGAAATTTTTATTACATATGAACAAGCAAAGGCATGTGAAAAACATATGTCTTATGTTTATAAACCCCAAATGTCACCATTTAATTGAATTATATTCATAAAAACGGGGGTGAATTTGAGCGTTTTCTCGTTATGTGAGAAACTCCCATTTATCGGATCATTGACAGCGTTAAGCCTGATTGGTCCAACTGCTCTCATGCATGCACAAGACAAATTCAGGCACACATGTGGGGACTTTACACAAATATCCTTCTCCAAAAAGAGAGTTCAGTTTTATAAAGGAAAAACAGGAAAATGTCTTCTTTTCAAAGTGAAGATATCAGAATCATAGCTCCAGATTATCTTTATGTAACTAGTTCCGGGGCCACGTGGAGGATATTATGGTTTTCTTCAATCATGTATAAGCGCATGACAGATCTGACAGGAAAATTTTGCTTCAAGAAATCATTTTTATTTCTGTCTTTAAAATTAAGACCTCTTCCCTTGCATTGTAACTTACAGGATATGGTATATTACCATAAAATTCAACGTAATAATGTTGTTGAATCAATACTTAACTTCATTGTCACATATTGAATCATTCAAAAGGGCTTTATTCCATGCTACAACCATGTGGGAAATTGAACCTGGACCTTTATGTGACAAGTTAACACCTTACCCACAGACTACCTCAAAGCTAGTCCATCGTTCTATGTAAAACACTGATGAATGTCATGTAGCGATTCCTACTAACGTTTCTGTTTTGTTTGGGCGTCAGTGAGTTTGGTTGTATAATGCTGCTTTGAACAGTATTTCACAGCATGCCAGTTTGATGTGGGTGGAAAGCTCAAAGAGATGCAGGTCTTAGATGTTTACCAAGCCACGAGCACGGGTATGGTGCTGACAAACGTCAAAACATAATCAGGGAGAATCAGGATTCGAACCCATGATCATCGGTTTCTGACATGCCTATAGGACACCATAGACAAGGGGACACTTCGAGCCACCCTTTCCTGTGACACATTTGAACAGGTAATATTAAATAACGTCTGAAGACTGAATCACTACTTAAAATCCCACACAAAAACTAACAAACGCTTAATGTACATCAGGGCGTCCACTTGAATATAGACAAACAATGGACATCAGAACATCAGACAGTGAGGTACAAATAGTCCTCATCCACAAGATCTTGTAAGAAAAGTATGCACCCAAATTAATGAAATTCCTGACTCCAAAGTAAATCCCTATATACTGTATGAGACAGCAAAGTTCCATAAAATGACAGATTAGGGCCATCACACTCTATCATTGTGCCTGGTATGAACATTATCAGCACACCTCCCCCCAAATAGGCCATGACAGAAGGCTAAATATGCACATTCTGATGAATAATTGATACTAGAAGCATGCAGAACCTGTGCAACATGAAACACTTCCCAAGCAGACGGCACACACCTCGCTGCATATATCACTACACAAACATGCCTACATGTACATTCAATCCAGATCCAGTGAACGATAATTTGATTGAAAGTCACTTTGGTAATCAGAATGCCACCTCAACAGTGATAAAAGATGCTATGGAAGTTTATTTTTGAAAGGGGATGCTAAAAATACTGTATTAATCTACCTGTGACTGCCATTATGGCAATGTCACATCTGTGTGTAATCACAAGATCAGAATACTGGCGAAACTTACCTCCTACACAGGAAACTTGGATCACCAGAAGTGACGTGTGGTGAAAAAAGCAAACACTGCCAAGGACGTTACTTTCCACCATGTCTTCGAGCATAGGAAGTGTCAGTGTGGAATTATGTTACAAAGATAGACATGCAGTTACACATGACATAAATGAATTACCTCAGAATTTGAGATATCTTATTTTGTTTTTGTATTTACAAATTAAAGTGAGAAAACCCTTTCCATTTTCAAAAGAAATCTCTGCTAAAAGCATAATCCGGCGTACGATTCAGATCAAATCATGAGCACGTGTTTACAAATCACTATCAAACAGTGATGTAACCAGGTGATACGAAGACATGCTAAAGGGGGACTGAACTTAGACAGTCCTTGCAAGTTTGATTCAAGTCATTTATAACGTGATTATTTTAACATAATTAATTTGATGCTTTTTTTCATTGCAAAGAATCATTAAATACCACAGCTCTGTTCAATTAATTCCTTAAACATAATATGTTCAATCAGGTCTTTGATAAGAAATTTTAGAGTTGAAATATTTTATCCTGACTTGTAACATCTTTGATAAACCCATTTCACAAACAGAAGGTAGTTTACACTTTCAACTTACAAACTATCAACTCCATATGATGTTGGAAGCAAATACTGAGGGGTCATCTTGCATTTGCTGGTCTGATTTCTTTATTCTAACAAATGGCTATTCCTCATGCTTTTTATTGATCGACCAATCAGGGAAGTCAAGTATGCTTCAACCAATGTTTAGTTCCTGTTGTAACAGCAGCATAACCAACCAGCAATAAGAGCGTCTGCTCACCACAAAAAAAAAACTATCATCATCCCTTTAACTAGGGATATCCAAACCAGGTGGTCAAAATATTGCCAAAGAGATACCTCACTGTGTTTAATCCCCTATAGAAATCCTGTCCAGTTCAACAAACAGCTGACAGCCATGGAGCAGTGTTCTTTCACTTCCTGTGATATATTCGGAAGAAAACTAAGCCAATTCCACACCAGCCAAATAAATACAGGCAATGAAGAAATGCCTACAAGCATAGTGTCAATCACTCTTGTTAATGAGCTAATTTGAACATTCAGCCCAAAATACCTCCTTGACATCTGTGTTACCTTGCGAAAAACCATCAGACTGGCAGTCACAGGGGGTTACCTCCCTTGACCAGCCTCTGCAGAAATATCCTTGTGAATTTGGTCCCTTTAACCATACTGATGTAGCATTTAAATTGTCAGTTTCTCAGTTTGTACTGCATGTGCACGCTGTTTGACGATAGTGATAATCTTAAGTATGTCTTTACTGACAAAAAATGAGTCAAAAACAGTAAAATTTTACAGTTGATTATTTGGTTTTATTTGTTTCATTTTTATATCAAAACCCATGAAATATTATCTGTGTCATGGGTTGATTTGTACAGACAAATTGTACATGTCGAATTGAAGGCTTTGAAGAACTCTCTGGCTAATTTAAAGCCATTTTGGCTCCTTGCCAAATCAAAAATCACTTGAGTTAACTAAAGCCACAAAAATAGTATCATCACTCACAAACACAAGATCGACATCAACATTTCAGATAACAAATTGAAAAATTCATTCACTGATACCAATTTCTTTGACTTAGATAAAGCTAATTGAGCAATGTCATCTCTTGCCGATATGTTTCTTTGAAAGAGTCCGAAGGAAATGACGTCACTTGCTGATAGTAGATTGTATAAAATACATACAGATGATAATGGTGCAAGCCTTTTACGATTTCTGAAAGAAGTTGAAGAGGAAATGTCATTAGCTTGTGGTACCAATTTCTCACAGCCATACTTGAAGATAATCAATGAACAATACCAAAGTCTAGAGACCATTTGCTAACAATCACAGCACCATTATACGGTGCCACATTTTAATGACAATGTTGACAGAACCCGATCAACTTTCAAAATCTGGTGATAAAAAGCTGCAGGTAATTGTGCACCAGTGCAGCATGTTAGCACTGGCAATTATGTGATGGCTCCAACACACAGCAGACTCAAACAGAACAGTGATTCTGACAATTACAAGATGGCTGACAGCAGCAGACGGCATCAGTGTCAGACGTACATCAGATTGGTTTGCACCGTAGAGGTGACATGGGTAGAAGGGAAGGTTTAAATGTTTCTGACAAGTACAAGACTAATGGAACATGCAGACTA